TACAATTTGCAGTGGGGTAGGAGAAAATTTACCTTATTAGGGATAGAATTTAGTGTGAATCTCCACGAGATACCAAAACTTAATTTTGACAAAAAACTAATAAAACTAAAATCATTGCTAACTACATGGAAGAGAAGGTCATTGACTCCGATTGGAAAAATTAATATAATTAAATCGCTACTTATATCACAGTTTACTCATCTTTTCATTTCTTTACCTAGTCCTGATAATGCCTTTTTTGCTAAACTTAATTCTTTGTTTTTTGAATATCTATGGAATGGGGGACCTGATAAAATTAAAAGGGAGATAATTGTGCAGAATTATGTAAATGGAGGTTTTAGCCTTTTGTAATTCCTTAAAGTTAACTTGGATAAGAAGACTTTTCCAAACCACGGCTAAATGGCAGTATATTGTGAAATCTTACATTAATATGGGTCTTTTTGCAAATTGTGGGAGCGAGTACATTGAGAATTGTAGTAAAAATTGTAGAAATGATTTTTGGAAAGACGTTTTCAAAATATTTCATCTCTTTAATAGTAAATACTACAATAATATTCATCAAGAACAGATACTAAAAACACCTTTGTGGTACAATAAAGAGATAAAGATAGCTGGTTTATCAGTGTTTTATAAGGAATTTTATAGCAAAAATATTTTTGTAATTAATGATTTAGTTAAAGACACAAACACTGGAGTTTTCTACTCATTTGGTGAATTTATTCAAAAATATAATGTAAATACAAACTTCCTGAAATATCAGAGTCTTCTGTCCTCAGTGAAGAAATTTATTTCTTCCCACAATACACATTTTCCTTTACCCACACTATCTTATCCTTACATTCCTGCTAATTTAGATCCTTTTCTTAAAGACAGTAAAGGCTCAAAATTTTTCTATGAAGCATTAATTAAGTCTAAACTGATTTCATCAGGAACCAGAAAATGGAATACATTATTTGAAGACATTGACAAACAAACATGGGAGAACTATTACAAGATGCCATTTAAAGTCACCACTAATACAAAACTTATGTGGTTCCAATACAGAGTTATTCACCACATTCTGACTACTAATGTTTTTTTGTTTAAAATCAGAACAGTTATCTCCCCTCTCTGTACATTCTGTAACTCAGAACCTGAAACTATTATCCATATAATGTGGGAATGTCATGAAGTACAAAAACTATTGCAAAGCTTTGAATCTTTGTTAAATATTCTTTATATTCCCTTTTCTTTTAACAAGAAATCTTTCCTTTTTGGACTTATTTTTGATAAATTCTTACCCAGTAACCGAGTTGATAATGAAATTATTTTATTAATAAAATAGTATGTATACAAAACAAAATGTCTTCATAGCTCTTTAAGTTTAAATGCATTAATAAATATAATAAAGGACACTTATACAGTTCAAAAATACATAACAAATGGTAAAGATGATAAAGCAAAGACAAAGTTTGAAAACGAATGGAGAAAATGGGATGGTCTTATCAAGTTGTAACTCATAGCATCAGTGGCAAAAATCCATATTTGACAGCAGTTTATTCAAGTCACATCTGCAGCTCCTTAGCATCCAATAAATAACCCATAGTAGCCCTGCACATACACAAAAAGATGAAAATATATATAATTAAAACAGAACTTTTTTTTTTCATTAGTTGTTGCTTGCCATCCCAACCACTAAATATCCTGTTGTTACTTATGTATATAGTCTTTTCTCTATCTCTTTCTTTTTCTTCTTCCTTTTGAAAAAACTTAAAAAAAAACAATACAATGAGTGTGTAAGCACTTCCATGCTGACTACATCTTGTTGATAGCTCGGTCGAAGTTAAATTGATCAGGCTGCACCTGAATGAAGCTGTTTCTTTTTTGTTTTTTTTTATTTTTTTTTCCGCGAAAAAGTACAGGCTTAAGTAACAAGCTCATTATTATCTTATTGTATATGTATACATTCCTACGACTATATGCAAATATATTGTTTATCAGTCTGGTCTCGTTTTGTCTGGTCTGGTCTGGCCAGGTCTGATCTGGTCTAGTCTGTCTGTCTGTCTGTCTGAGTGTATGTCTGTCTGTGTGCGAGGGTATGTGTGAGGGTGTATGTGTTGATGGGTGAGAGTATGTATGAGTGAGGGTGTTAGTGGTGTTTAAGTACTTAAATATTGACCGTATATGAAACAATTTGTCTTTACATAAATATGTATGTGTGTATCTGTAAGGGAGAATAAATAGTGACTATGTATGAAACAATTTGTTTATACAGAAACATGTATGTGTGTACATGCAAGCAGAGACATATGTGTGTTATATATGTCTCTGATGCAAAAGAGAATGAAAAGTGACTGTGGATGAAACAACTTGTTTATAGATAAGTATGTATATGTGTATATGCAAGGGAGAATGAATAGTGATTGTGTATGAAACAGTTTGTTTGTGTGTGTGTGTGTGTGTATGCATACAGTATATAGTTGTTTTTGATTGTTGTGTGTATGAGCATGTCTTGCTTGAGATATACAAACAATAGCTACTAAAAGAGCTGTCATGTGTGCAAAGGTGTGTGTGGGCTTGCATGGATGAGCAATAGGCTGTTCCATTGTATATTCCCTCTCTGTATCAACTCATTGTATTGAATAAAATGATAAATTACAAAAAAAAAGTTTCAATATAATTGGTCAACCCTATCACAAGTTATCATCTAGAAGCACGATGAAAGACTATTTTTAGTAACAGTGACTTCGTAGTTGATTGACCCTTTGACCCCAAACTCAATCCATCTCTATGTTAACTCAGAAGCTAACATTGTATGAAGTTTTCAAACTTTCGACCCACAACTCAATCACGCTCTGCATTTACTCATCAACTAACATTGTGTGAAGTTTCAAGCGTGCACGTCGCCAGAACACCGACGATACCCGCAAGTTTCAAATATGTATGTATGTGTGTGTGTGTGTGTGTGTGTGGTGTGTGTGTGTGTGTGTGTGTGTGTGGTTGGTTTATGCGGCGGGGGCGGGGGTATTTTCAATAATTAAGTTGAAAAAAAAAACCAAAACAAAACAAAAAACATTGAAAAATCCTTGGTCGAGTTACACCAAAACAAAAGAATTTTAATGGTGGCCCTACAAAGGGGGTACTAACAGTACAGAGGTATGTCCGCTTTATACATTAGCAGAAAACAAGAATCTGTGTATGGGAGTAATATGCTATAACTTAGGAGGTATATAAGAAATCGTCAGAAAAATCTACAGGGTTTTATCTGACCTTTATTTAACACCTGCTCAGTTGATATGATTATTGCATCAGCGGCGTCCTGGATAGAAATAACTTTTCACAGACGTTCTCTAAAAAAAAGTTCAGCTCATCAATACCATGTATGTCCATCATTGGAATCGATGCATGCTTGACAATGACGTCTCATTGATGCAACAAGTGTTCTGAAAAATGCCTGGGGAATACCATTCCATATTATCACAAGCGCACGTGACAGGTCAGTTAACGTCAACGGCTACTTTTGCAAGCGACGTAAGCGACGCTGCATTCCAAACAACACGTATGCTATAGGCGACATATCCGGTGACATCGCGGGCCAAGGCAGCACATTCACATTGTTCCGAATCAAGAAGTCGGCGATAGCCCGCGCGATGTGCGAGCGAGCCTTATCTTGTTGCAGCGTGGCGTTACGTTGCTGTACAAATGGAATGACGTGAGGCCTGATAATTTCGTCACGATATCTGATACCTGTAAGTGTGTCGTCCACAACCACAAGAGTTGTTCTGCCACGGAATGAAATGCGACCCCACATCATAATACTATCTCCGCCGAATGGACGTAGTTGAACTCGTAGTCATGGAAACGTCACAACACAACGGTACACTCTAAAATGACCGTCGCTGCTGTCGCGATGAAACCCTGAACTCACCTGCCGCGTGAAGTGTATGTGTCGCCTACACCAGGCTAAAACGTGTTATACGATGACGTCGCTGTAGAACACGAAGTATGACTGGGCGTCGTGGACATATGACTCGTTCAAACAACTACGTATCGTTCAGGGACTAATAATTCTCGGGCCAGGAATACTTCTAACCGTCAAAAAGCAGTTCTAGCTAGGTATCCCGGCGATTAGACGTTAGGCTTGGACGTCCTGACCGAGGCCGGTCTCTGGTAGTCCCAAACTGTTGGTACAGTCTCCACAAGGCGTCTACAGTATTTCGGTACACACCAAATTGTCTGGCAACGTAAAAGTGACCTACACCAGCTTCGATCCCTGCTTACGGCGCGGCATCTGTCAGTTTCATTCAGCTTTGGCATAGCGTATCAAAGACGTTTTTCAAAATTATGCTGGTCTGGTGTGTTTCAGATTCAATGTATTTACATTATGCGTTTACACAGGTTTATGCGACAAAGGTGTTTGCGATTGACGGTTGTCCAAACCCAGTGAAAACGAAGACGTGGACCAGACAGACAAGGCTACCTGTGCAGCTCATCAACTCATGCACTGACCAGTGTAATTACAGGAGGGAGAAGCTTTAATTTCCGTTAGTATATTTAGAATTTTCGGCCCCTGAAAAACAATTTCAGTATTGAAGCAATGTTTCAAAGATGCAAAATACGCTTAAATGTTCAACATTTCCATGGTCCATCTGTCAATATGATACATGACGGAGCAATAATACTAGCGCAAAAAATGCCTCTTGCGCCTTTCACATTTTCAATTTCGGTCAACATCCGTATTGCATAAATTTTGAAGCTTGCTTTTCCTTTTACATGTTCCCTTGTGATATCGTCAATTTACAAAACTGACAATTACACAAAGGATTAAGACAAGAATGTCGATTACTACGCAATACTATATATTTTGTCATGTTCTAGATATGTTTGTAAATAATACGGTCTGTGTCGTGTATCTTTTCACCAGACTGCGGAATTCTGAAATAGACTATAGATCTACACGCCTGCTACGTGACTATGCGCACGTCTGGCGCAGTTAGGAGCTTGAAGTTTGACACGGGCAGAACGACGTAGAGAAGACCAGCTTGTTTTTACGTTGTTCGCTTTAAGGTTAATTTGTGGATAGCTGTTGCAAAGATATCTATGCACATAACAGTGATTTATCCCACATGTTTACTTAATTAGGCGTGATTGGAGCCACAGCCATCCAGAGACGAGAGCACAGGTCCTAACACAACGTAAACATTCTAGCCGGGTCACTCGATAGAAATAAAAACAACTGCTGATCATTTCGTTAAATGAGAAATATCGACGCTCCTTCCAGTTTCTCCGACGTCGATGCAGAAGACATCGGTAAGATATTTATCAATAACTGACTTTATTTCTTTTAGTCCTTTTACAAGTCGATCAAAATCCGGGCCAATACATTTACACATCACGATCATCCGATTATAATATATCATATTTTCCGAATGCAGAGTTATCTGCTCTTGTGAACGATTTTCTCGCACAAACTAGCCTAATCTTTAGTAGTATATCATAAGAGCAGGTAACACTGACAGCATTACGTATAGACTGAATTAGACATAGTAGAACTGACAGTGCCTCAAGTAAACTCTGGTGTTGCAGTACAGTGACATTGGGATCTGTGCTTACCACAATGTATTATATATTTAATTTATTATAGATCTAGTAGTTCTAGTGTTCTTCTTGAGATCAGACAGCAATCCAACAGAAATCCTAGAGGAAATCCCCTTTCCTTAATCTATAATAGATTAACCCAGTATAAAATTAAACCAGTACAATGTAGGTCTCTGACAACATATAAACTTAACCTGGAATACTTACACAGGGCAATTTATTTCTGAGTGTGCCTAAAACGATCAGTGGCTGCCTTTTGTTTACTCAAGAGTATAAAACTGTCAATACACGTTACACACAGACAGGTTGAGGTCACTCTGTTGCAATACTTGTTCTCCACTGTAAACCATTTAAACAATACATGATTATTATTATTTCTAGCAATTATTTAACATACAGTATCTAAGGCCCCAAAGCTTAGGCAATGATTTGTCTTGCATGTGTATGCCTGTAGCTACAGTATGTTTGGTGAGAGGATTTTCAGAGATTGACTTCATATCAATTGTGGTCATACCATTTACTCATTATAAGTATCAAGATCACTGACACTTTTGTACAAATATGAAATAATTTAGGAATTCAAGATAGAATCAATTCCACACCAACAGCAGTCACTTGTAAAGGGATTATGACATAAACATACTGTATCAAATCCTCACTTTGCCAATATAGTTAATTTGTCTTCAGTAGATAGAAGGAAATTAACACAGCTTGAATTCCCAAGGGTGATGCAGATGTCTTGGTTATATATGCTGAGGTTAGTATTATTACAAGTCCCTATATGGGTACCAATGTAACTGAGGTCATTATTCCAATGCCTCTGCTAGGAATCAAATCAGGTACCCCAGATTTTCTAGGCTTACTTTTAAAAGAATGAGACTGGCTGAGTGGTATGTATATTACAGTAAGTAGTAAGAAAGGTTGCTACATGAAGGCAGTTCTTTTGTCTGTTAGTTTAAGAGTGAAAAACAGACCTTTTCAAGTCCAATACCTAAAAATGTAATAAATGTCCCCAAACAAAAGAGAAGTCAGGAATATCTAACATTTTCTGTTTTTTGTAAAATTCACGAAGCAAACAACATGACCTTCATGTGAAATAATGAGACTCCATTGTGAAGTGATTTATTATGCCAGTTAAAATGACAAAGTCACGTGACCAGCTTATAAACAAGTGACAGAATTCACATCAACCACCGTTGTTTAAGCATTGTTATCTTATAGTTTTAGGCCCTAAGCATCACGGACGAGTCTTAGAGGACAAAACAACTGTATGATTCAGTTGAATTCATTATCTGGCTCTATTCTGTCCAACTCTAACTTAGTATTGAAAGCTGATATACACTTGTGTGTCTGTTGGACAATATTTTATTTATAATGCCTCAACATTAATCCACAAATGGTCACAACCAAACATGTATATATACAATTGGAAAAATAGATATGTAGCCATTGGTGTAAATGTATAGTGACTATACGACAAGTGTCATTGACCTTTGTCATAGTCAACATTTTTTTCTGGCTAATATAACAGTACCAGTTTAAACATGATTGTAGATAATATAAAGGACACTGTTCCTGAACGTATACAGCAAAACTTAAATGGGAAATTCCCTATAATTTTTGTATCATTTTAAGTCTAGCAACAAATACCTGGGTATGTACTATATGAAGGAATTTACTTCAGAATATCTGAAACATCAATACCAGAACTACAGGTTAGATATGTGCAGTAAGGAAGTTTGACCATATTATACAGTTTTAAAATTCAAAACAGAAATTATAAAGATGTAGACACAGATCAGATATGTACAGGTTACACACAGGTAAAACTACCCACCTGACCCATTGTTGATCATTCTAGATATACTTTATAACATGTAGTTTCATAGAAAAAGATGTGAGCTCCAAAAAAATAGAAGAGGTTTGAAGAAATACCTTTGTTTTACACAATCAGTTATCTAGTAATTTGATAGGGGTACACAACCTGAATCTAATGTAGCAGAAAGAAGTTTGTGTACAACAGGGGATTTCCATAAGAGCTGGTTGCCGGCCAATTCGACTGGCTTTTTTGATCATTTGGCTGCTTACACAAATCCAGTTCTGTAATAATGTTACGTACACGACTACACGTACACGGCAGGCCACCCTCGCCGCGTTGCGGCTCGGGTCGGCTTGCTTCGCCAGCCTCCTACTTTCACTACACAGCCTACTACTAACAAAATTATGGAAAACCATGGTACAAGACATGTCATACATCCATTATATTAGTTCAGTTACACCATATATAATATATATATATCGTAGATAGATTTGAAAGCTGGTGGTGATTATTGGTCAAAGTTATCCTTTGAAAGCCTTGTGTTTGTATAACTTCATTTATCCATGTATGTAATGTCCGTCTCTAGATGTACTCATCTGAGTTATTCAATGTTATTATGATTTACACTTTACAAATATAGAAAAAAAAATTATGATCATTAGCTGTACATGTCATCAATGACGGCTAAAGGTCATAAAAGGTCAAAGATTGCAACTGGGATGCAACTACTTAGAAAATCAAAATGATGTATATGAGATCACTCATTCACCTGAGCAATTTATAAAATCATGTCTTAATTTGAAAAATCTTCTTCTTAAGGCCCAGATATGGTAGAAGCAAATGCCCTCCATGGATCTTGAGGTGCTTTACCAAAATTGTGAATTTCACGGTCACAGGATCTCATATTTCCATTGGCTATAACTGGTTCGAATTATCAGTATAGGACGACAGTTTTGATAGTATGTATATATTGACACTGGCTGACTCCCAAAGGCTTAAAACATTACACTTCAGTCTTACTATCATCAGTATCACTATTTATAGACCTCTTGTTATGATAAAGACCTGAGCTAAAATTTCCTGATTGATTGTTGCAGATATTATCAAGCCGTGTGATGAGTTGTCTCCTCTAGTGACACCACAGGGCCTGTCGTATGGACGGTCAGGCCAAGAGACGTGGTCATGTGCGTGGGCCCCAGACAACTTGTACTTTGCCTGGTCTTGTGGTTCCCGCACAGTACAGCTTATTCCCTGGGACAAAAACACAGGACATCTGTAAGTCAAAGAAATTATATTTATACATTTTACTGGAGCTTCAGATAATTCATAATTTAAAATTTCACTAGTGCTTCAATTTTACTGCAACTAAAGTAAAGGAATCCACTTCAAACATGTGTAATTGAAATAAAGCTAAATTTGATGTAGATGTTTTAGATTGAACTGCCTCTGTTTCTACTGTAACATATCCCTGCCTTATGTTTCATGCTGATGTATTGGAACAGGACTGAAGAAGCTAAAGAATACAACAGTTCCTATGAAAGGAGACAGAGATGGGTAAATGAGATCAATGGAGATCAGCTCACCACACTACGATTGATCCAGATGCTGATGAAGGAGGAGGAAGATGATAACCAACACCTTAAACGAAAAAGAGTTACACGTACCATTGACTGTGGGGGGTTTGTCACTGCTGTGGCTTTTGGTACGGGGACATCTAAGGGTGGATATCACACCATGTGGAAACGATTCAAGTTTGATGATGTCATGATACTAGCTACAGGATTACTGAATGGAAAGATTAAAACCTGGGACTGCGACACAGGTAGGATGTTGTCACACCTGGTGCTGTATTACAAGTGATGTTTGTAACACAGGTAGAATATCATACCTGGTGCTGTATTACAGGTGATGTTTGTAACACAGGTAGGATGTTGTCACACCTGGTGCTGTATTACAAGTGATGTTTGTAACACAGGTAGAATATCATACCTGGTGCTGTATTACAGGTGATGTTTGTAACACAGGTAGGATGTTGTCACACCTGATGCTGTAATACAAGTGATGTTTGTAACACAGGTAGAATATCATACCTGGTGCTGTATTACAGGTGATGTTTGTAACACAGGTAGGATGTTGTCACACCTGGTGCTGTATTACAAGTGATGTTTGTAACACAGGTAGAATATCATACCTGGTGCTGTATTACAGGTGATGTTTGTAACACAGGTAGGCTGTTGTCATACCTGGTGCTGTATTACAAGTGATGTTTGTAACACAGGTAGAATATCATACCTGGTGCTGTATTACAGGTGATGTTTGTAACACAGGTAGAATATCATACCTGGTGCTGTATTACAAGTGATGTTTGTAACACAGGTAGAATATCATACCTGGTGCTGTATTACAGGTGATGTTTGTAACACAGGTAGAATGTTGTCATACCTGGTGCTGTATTACAGGTGATGTTTGTAACACAGGTAGGATGTTGTCACATCTGGTGCTGTATTACAGGTGATGTTTGTAACACAGGTAGGATGTTGTCACATCTGGTGCTGTATTACAGGTGATGTTTGTAACACAGGTAGAAATGTTGTCATACCTGGTGCTGTATTACAGGTGATGTTTGTAACCCAGGTAGGATGTTGTCACATCTGGTGCTGTATTACAGGTGATGTTTGTAACACAGGTAGGATGTTGTCACATCTGGTGCTGTATTACAAGTGATGTTTGTAATAGGTAGAAATGTTGTCATACCTGGTGCTGTATTACAGGTGATGTTTGTAACACAGGTAGGATGTTGTCACATCTGGTGCTGTATTACAAGTGATGTTTGTAACAGGTAGAAATGTTGTCATACCTGGTGCTGTATTACAGGTGATGTTTGTAACACAGGTAGGATGTTGTCACATCTGGTGCTGTATTACAGGTGATGTTTGTAACACAGGTAGAAATGTTGTCATACCTGGTGCTGTATTACAGGTGATGTTTGTAACACAGGTAGGATGAATGGTATATTTGAAAAGTATATTTAGAGTGAGAATTTCATTAGTTTTGCAAATTAAAATACCTAGAACTTCTCACAGCAAGAGTAAACATTGCATTAATGCATTTAAGGTACAAATAGCTGACTAGGTACCTCAGTGTCACAACTCACCGACTCGTTCCTTTAGCGTTCATTTAGAGTCACAAATAGCTGAAAGAATCTGAAAGTAAGACAGATTCTGAGAAATAAGACAGAATCTCAGAAATAAGACAGATTCTGAGAAATAAGACAGATTCTGAGAAATAAGACAGAATCTCAGAATCTCAGAAAGATAGAATCGCAGAAATATGACAGAACATCAGAAATAAGACAGAATCTCACAAATAAGACATCAGAAATAAGACAGAATCTCAGAAATAAGACATAATCTCACAAATAAGACAGAATCTCAGAAATATGACAGAACATCAGAAATAAGACAGAATCTCAGAAATATGACAGAACATCAGAAATAAGACAGAATCTCAGAAATATGACAGAACCTCAGAAATAAGACAGAATCTCACAAATAAGACAGAATCTCACAAATAAGACATCAGAAATAAGACATAATCTCACAAATAAGACAGAATCTCAGAAATAAGACAGATTCTGAGAAATAAGACAGAATCTCAGAAATAAGACAGAATCTCACAAATAAGACAGAATCTCACAAATAAGACATCAGAAATAAGACATAATCTCACAAATAAGACAGAATCTCAGAAATATGACAGAACATCAGAAATAAGACAGAATCTCAGAAATATGACAGAACCTCAGAAATAAGACAGAATCTCACAAATAAGACAGAATCTCACAAATAAGACATCAGAAATAAGACAGAATCTCACAAATAAGACATCAGAAATATGACAGAATCTCACAAATAAGACATCAGAAACAAGACAGATCATCAGAAATAAGACAGAACATCAGAAATATGACAGAACCTCAGAAATAAGACAGAATCTTAATAAGACAGAATCTCATAAATAAGACATCAGAAATAAGACAGAATTTCACAAATAAGAGAGAATCTCACAAATATGACATCAGAAATAAGACAGAATCTCACAAATAAGGCAGAACCTCAGAAATAAGACAGAACCTCAGAAATAAGACAGAATCTCACAAATAAGACAGAATCTCACAAAGAATCTCATAAATAAGACATCAGAAATAAGACAGAATCTCACAAGTAAGACAGAATCTCACAAATAAGACATCAGAAATAAGACAGAATCTCACAAATAAGACAGAATCTCACAAATAAGACATCAGAAATAAGACAGAATCTCACAAATAAGATAGAATCTCAGAAATATGACAGAATCTCACAAATAAGACATCAGAAATAAGACAGAATCTCACAAATAAGACATCAGAAATATGACAGATCATCAGAAATAAGACAGAATCTCACAAATAAGACAGAATCTCAGAAATATGACAGAATCTCACAAATAAGACATCAGAAATAAGACAGAATCTCACAAATAAGACATCAGAAATATGACAGAATCTCACATATAAGGCAGAACCTCAGAAATAAGACAGAATCTCACAAATAAGACAGAATCTCACAAATAAGACATCAGAAATAAGACATAATCTCACAAATAAGACAGAATCTCACAAATAAGGCAGAACCTCAGAAATAAGGCAGAACCTCAGAAATATGACAGAATCTCAAAAATAAGACAGAATCTCACAAATAAGACATCAGAAATAAGGCAGAACCTCAGAAATAAGGCAGAACCTCAGAAATAAGACAGAATCTCAGAAATATGACAGAATCTCAAAAATAAGACAGAATCTCACAAATAAGACATCAGAAATAAGACAGAATCTCACAAATAAGACAGAATCTCACAAATAAGACATCAGAAGTAAGACAGAATCTCACAAATAAGACATCAGAAATAAGACAGAACCTCAGAAATAAGACAGAATCTCAGAAATAAGACATCAGAAATAAGACAGAATCTCACAAATAAGATAGAATCTGAATAAGACAGAATATCACAAATAAGACAGAATCTCACAAATAAGACATCAGAAATAAGACAGAATCTCACAAATAAGACATCAGAAATATGACAGAATCTCACAAATAAGACAGAATCTCACAAATAAGACATCAGAAACAAGACAGATCATCAGAAATAAGACAGAACATCAGAAATATGACAGAACCTCAGAAATAAGACAGAATCTTAATAAGACAGAATCTCACAAATAAGACATCAGAAATAAGACAGAACCTCAGAAATAAGACAGAATCTCAGAAATAAGACATCAGAAATAAGACAGAATCTCACAAATAAGATAGAATCTGAATAAGACAGAATATCACAAATAAGACAGAATCTCACAAATAAGACATCAGAAATAAGACAGAATCTCACAAATAAGACATCAGAAATATGACAGAATCTCACAAATAAGACAGAATCTCACAAATAAGACATCAGAAACAAGACAGATCATCAGAAATAAGACAGAACATCAGAAATATGACAGAACCTCAGAAATAAGACAGAATCTTAATAAGACAGAATCTCACAAATAAGACATCAGAAATAAGACAGAATTTCACAAATAAGAGAGAATCTCACAAATAAGGCAGAACCTCAGAAATAAGACAGAACCTCAGAAATAAGACAGAATCTCACAAATAAGACAGAATCTCACAAAGAATCTCATAAATAAGACATCACAAATAAGACAGAATCTCACAAGTAAGACAGAATCTCACAAATAAGACATCAGAAATAAGACAGAATCTCACAAATAAGACTAAGTCATCAGAAATAAGACAGAATCTCTCAAATAAGACAGAATCTCACAAATAAGACATCAGAAATAAGACAGAATCTCACAAATAAGACAGAATCTCACAAATAAGACAGAATCTCCCAAATAAGGCATTAGAAATAAGACAGAATCTCACAAATAAGACATCAGAAATATGACAGATCATCAGAAATAAGACAGAATCTCACAAATAAGACAGAATCTCACAAATAAGACAGAATCTCACAAATAAGACATCAGAAATAAGACAGAATCTCACAAATAAGACATCAGAAATATGACAGATCATCAGAAATAAGACAGAATCTCACAAATAAGACAGAATCTCACAAATAAGACATCAGAAATAAGACAGAATCTCACAAATAAGATAGAATCTGAATAAGACAGAATATCACAAATAAGACAGAATCTCACAAATAAGACATCAGAAATAAGACAGAATCTCACAAATAAGACATCAGAAATATGACAGAATCTCAGAAATAAGACATCAGAAATAAGACAGATCATCAGAAATAAGACAGAACATCAGAAATATGACAGAACCTCAGAAATAAGACAGAATCTGAATATGACAGAACCTCAGAAATAAGACAGAATCTGAATAAGACAGAACCTCAGAAATAAGACAGAATCTGAATAAGACAGAATCTCACAAATAAGACATCAGAAATAAGACAGAACATCAGAAATAAGACAGAACATCAGAAATATGACAGAACCTCAGAAATAAGACAGAACCTCAGAAATAAGACAGAATCTCAGAAATAAGACAGAACATCAGAAATAAGACAGAATCTCACAAATAAGACAGAATCTCACAAATAAGACATCAGAAATAAGACAGAATCTCACAAATAAGACAGAATCTCACAAATAAGACAGAATCTCACAAATAAGACATCAGAAATATGACAGAACATCAGAAATAAGACAGAACATCAGAAATATGACAGAATCTCAGAAATAAGACAGAATCTTGGAAAGATAGAATCGCAGAAATAAGACAGAATCTCAGAAACAAGACAGAATCTCAGAAATAAGACAGAATCTCAGAAAGATAGAATCGCAGAAATATGACAGAACATCAGAAATAAGACAGAATCTCGGAAAGATAGAATCACAGAAATAAGACATCAGAAATATGACAGAACCTCAGAAATAAGACATCAGAAATAAGACAGAATCTCAGAAATAAGACAAAATCTTGGAAATAAGACATCGGAAATAAGACAGAATCTCACAAATAAGACAGAATCTCACAAATAAGACATCAGAAATAAGACAGAATCTCAGAAATAAGACATCAGAAATATGACAGATCATCAGAAATAAGACAGAATCTCAGAAATAAGACAAAATCTTGGAAATAAGACATCGGAAATAAGACAGAATCTCACAAATAAGACAGAATCTCACAAATAAGACATCAGAAATAAGACAGAATCTCAGAAATAAGACAGAACATCAGAAATATGACAGATCATCAGAAATAAGACAGAATCTCAGAAATAAGACATCAGAAATATGTCAGAACATCAGAAATAAGACAGAATCTCAGAAATAAGACAAAATCTTGGAAATAAGACATCGGAAATAAGACAGAATCTGCTGTTGTAGGTAATCTGTTAATGGAGCTGATTGATCACCGAGACTGTATCAAGGAAATCGACTTTGCCCCAGACAGAAGCTTGTTATTTGTTTCTGCTTCTCGTGATGGGACACTGAAAGTTTGGGATCTCGATGATGATGGAAATATGACGAAGACTTTGCGAGGAAAAGCATCAGTGGCAAACTCATGTAAATGGTCTCCGGACTGTAAGATGATCGCCAGTGTAGGCAGTAGCAAGTCAGTAAGTATTTACTTATGGTCTCTGTTTTATTTCCAGGAGAAAAGTTTAGTCTCTTTCTTGCTAAAATTCCTTTCACCTGGTGGCTTACAGTTTCATTGATGTTATTTTGAGCTTAGAATTTTTGTTACCTTCATTTCTAGTCAAAAGCTTAGTAACCTTCATTTTGCAGCTAAAGGTCGAATCACCTTCTGTTCTTGCCAAATGTTCATTCGCCATTATTCCTAATCAAAATTTTAGTCTTCTTGATACCTGGGGGAAAATTCATAGGTAAAGTTTTGGCATTATCCTGAAAACATGTTTTTGGAAGGATATTAAATTAGGCTCTGCCTGTTATGGGCATTTCAGGACCAGAGCTCCAAAACTATTCTAACTAACCAATGTAATGCTCATACATTTATCAAGGTAACTACTCTAATCATCATACATTTATCAAGGTAACTACTCTAATCATCATACATTTATCAAGGTAACTAATACATTTATCAAGGTAACTAATACATTTATCAAGGTAACTACTCTAATCAAGGTAACTATAATATTGATTTTCATACATTTATAAAGTTTGAAATTCAGTAGTGCCTTTTGATATTGAGAGGTTACCAATTTAAATACTTTTTCTGTTACTATGGAAACAGATAGGCTAAATTGCAAATTTCACTTGTATGGAGCATGACGCCAGATCTGCTCAAGATAAAAAACTGAAACTAGATTTTGCTGCTGGAGTGAACTGTCAAAAGCATTTAAGATAATTGTCTGAAACATTTGTGTACTTATCCTATTGCTCTAGTGGTACCTTTAGTGGTAAAGTTCTCATTTCTTCTTGGTACTGAGAAGCAGATTAGAAACAGATAGGCAAAATCACAAATTTCATGGTTCCCACAGCCTGGCAACAAAATCATTTAAGGGTGGTCGGGTGGCGCAATGGAAACGCACTCACTTTTCACCTAGCCATTCAGGGTTCGATTTCCGTAATAGATGTGAAAAGGTTTGGGTCACCTGCTCGACCACATGGGCTTTCTCCAGGTACTCCAGTTTCCTCCAACAATAAGACCCTTTGCACGGTTCTATCCGGGCCAACAAGAGTGATTAATATAAGTTGGAAAAACTTGTTTTTTGCCATTTTTGAAAAATACAAAAGTTCATTATTTATTATGAAATAGATTAAGAAATGCCTGAAACTTTGTACAAGCTAGCAATCACTTGGTGCCTTTGGAGAAGTTTTTGTTTGGATGTTTTTTTTAAACTTTGGAAAAAGGCAAAAATGAAATATATGAGGTTTCTAGAGGGAAATCTCAAAACTATTGAAATTAACAAGTTTGAATTTTTTTACCGGTATATACATTGAATGATTGTATGTCTTCCTGTTAAACAGCGAGTCATTGGGGATAATGTCACACTTTGTGTTTAAACAGCCATTCAAGCCTCACATTACATGATTTCAGGTGGCCTTGTTTGACATGACAGACAGAAATAGACACATTCAGCTACAGGGTCACTACCATGAAGTGTGTTCATGTGACTTCTCCCCTGATGGGGCCCTCTTAGCCACAGCTTCCTACGACACTCGTGTCATCATCTGGGACCCCTACACTGGGGATGCTATATCTGAACTGGGGTAAGTATTCTAACACAGTAGTCGCTGCACTTTTTAGTATGAAATCATTTATATTCCTGGCATATATTCCTACAGTACGTATATCATCACTTAATACTGTTTTCGTGGTGTAGACCTTTCAGTGATGAATTGAATGGTGAATTTGACTATAGATGATTACTAACAAGGAGTGCTTGTTTTTGTATTGATCTCATGTTTGTAGAGACTCTCTTCTGTTTGAAGGCAGCAGGGTGAATTGTGTCATTAATACAATAAGTTTAATATCAAGAAATTAATAGATAAAATCTTACGAAGTGTTCTTAACTTTTTTCATAAAAGTGCTGTTAAAAGTCTTTCTTGTGATTTATTCATTTCACTTACTATTGTTTTTTGATAACAAGTGTAATTCTACTGCTAAGTAACTGAACACAGTTTTTAAACAACTATTACAGACATATGTTCCCAGAACCCCGTCCAATATTTGCTGGTGGTGCTAATGAACACTATGTGAGGGACTTAAGTTTCTGTAAGAATGGCCTACAACTGGCTACCATCTGTGATGATGGGTAAGTTACTCCTGGCCTCTCACGGAGGTGATTAATACATCTGATCTTGTTACGATCTGTGATGATGGGTAAGTTACTCCTGGCCTCTCACGGAGGTGATTAGTACATCTGATCTTGTTACAATCTGTGATGATGGGTAAGTGACTACTGGCCTTGTTACAATCTGTGATGATGGGTAAGTTACTCCTGGCCTCTCACGGAGGTGATTAGTACATCTGATCTTGTTACAATCTGTGATGATGGGTAAGTTACTACTGGCCTCTCACGGAGGTGATTAGTACATCTGATCTTGTTACAATCTGTGATGATGGGTAAGTGACCTCTCACGGAGGTGTTAGTACATCTTGTTACAATCTGTGATGATGGGTAAGTTACTCCTGGCCTCTCACGGAGGTGATTAGTACATCTGATCTTGTTACAATCTGTGATGATGGGTAAGTTACTACTGGCCTCTCACGGAGGTGATTAGTACATCTGATCTTGTTACAATCTGTGATGATGGGTAAGTGACTACTGACCTCTCACGGAGGTGATTAGTACATCTGATCTTGTTACAATCTGTGATGATGGGTAAGTTACTACTGACCTCTCACGGAGGTGATTAGTACATCTGATCTTGTTACAGTCTGTGATGATGGGTAAGTTAACATCTGATCTTGTTACAATCTGTGATGATGGGTAAGTGACTACTGACCTCTCACGGAGGTGATTAGTACATCTGATCTTGTTACAATCTGTGATGATGGGTAAGTGACTACTGGCCTCTCACGGAGGTGATAAGTACATCTGATCTTGTTACAATCTGTGATGATGGGTAAGTGACTACTGACCTCTCACGGAGGTGATTAGTACATCTGATCTTGTTACAATCTGTGATGATGGGTAAGTGACTACTGACCTCTCACGGAGGTGATTAGTACATCTGATCTTGTTACAATCTGTGATGATGGGTAAGTGACTACTGACCTCTCACGGAGGTGATTAGTACATCTGATCTTGTTAAGTACATCTGATCTTGTTACAATCTGTGATGATGGGTAAGTGACTACTGACCTCTCACGGAGGTGATTAGTACATCTGATCTTGTTACAATCTGTGATGATGGGTAAGTTACTCCTGGCCTCTCACGGAGGTGATTAGTACATCTGATCTTGTTACAATCTGTAATGATGGGTAAGTGACTACTGACCTCTCACGGAGATGATTGATGAATTTGGATGCATGAGATTATAGAATAATCAGTAGATACAATAAACAGCTTCCTGAACAATGTAGTCAATCTAGACAGAAGCCTTGATTTGTTTGTACATGAATTTCTCTCTGATGACTATCTCTTACTCCCTGTACATTTATACAACCTAATCTTTTGGATCATTAATGCTATATTAAAGTATTTGTTCCACTGCCATCAACTGAACTAACAAGTGGTATACATGTTTAGAAACCAATTGTCAACAGAATTTGTTGATTGCCTTTTCTTAGTTTTGAGGAATCCTCTGTACCTAATAATTCTTATCTTGAAACATCTGCAAAAGTTTAAATTGACATCAGAAGGTTTTTATCCATACCAGTAGCTGAATAAAGGTTATTGTATCTCCAGGTACATGAGAGTGTGGGACCTACAAGATACTAGTAACCCTAAGGCCGTGGCTAACCATAGCAACACCCTGTGTTGTAGTTTTTCTCCAAATGGACACACCATCGCTGTAGGGTTGGTATCCCATTTCTTATCTGATTGATGTACTGGGGAATGTGGTGAGAGTAAGTGAGTGTTAATGGTGAGGTTTTTTGATCAAATGATTTCTGTCAAGTATGGTAATTATGTTTTACTGGTTCAAATACATAAATCAAATGTTTGTAAATATGAGTTATTTGTATGAGATATTTCTGTAGAGATTGAAGACAATGGTCAGCCTACTTTACTATCAATACTCCAGACTAGGACTCTGTCTCCACAGATTTGTTAATAGACTATGATATACTGATGTCTTCAATTGATATTGAAAACTCAAATTTGAAAGTGTCATCCAAGCATGGTGAAAGTTCAAAAAACCTTCATTAAGTGTGGTTTTCGAGCATGATCCAACTCCAAAACATCATTAATTTTGTGTTTCAAGCATGATAAGTTCAAAGCATTCATACGATTATGATGAATGTTGCAAGATATTAATGAAGGAGTCTTCCATAATGCAAACGTTCAAGTGACCAGTAAATTGATGACTAGATATTTGGCTGATATTTCTTTGTTGAAATTATTCACTTGAAGTCTCTTTTAAATCAGAATATCTATGATGAAGGAATCTTCAATCTAGATAATATGACATACATAGTATTACAAAATTCACCAATAATTTGGAAGACACTTTAATCCCATGTTTATGTCTTGGAAAAAGGATGGAGTCGCTAGATACGTAACAATCGTAAAGCATTTAAGAGATTTTGTTCCTGAAACAGAAGCAACCTCATGACTTACAGTATATTATGTGTCTAGCTACGCTCCTGCCTTTTATCATGGCAAGAATCTTTGTGTTTTCAATACTGTAAAATCCTTGCATACAGTACCAAACCTGTTATTGGTTATGAATATCTTAATCCATTTACCTCTCCCATCTTGTTTGTTAAAAAATAATGTTTCTTTTTAAAAATCATTAGAGCAATAATGGTAATGATATGAAGTAAGCCGAGATGGATAGTTATCAAATTTGTTTGAACGAATTTCCTTGACCTTCCTTTAAAACCACAGAGCTAAAGTATTCCTTAGGAAATCTTGGAATAAAATGTGGAGATAAATTTCCTGTAATTTAAAGTGCTATTTGATCTCTAGCAGATTTTGTTCTCCAGTCTGGTGCTATTGTATAATTTCTGTAGGTTAGGTATCAATGCGGACAAAATTGTCATTTTACACCGAGACGACCTCTTCCTGACTACGGTTGTTATATGTGTAGAAATAAATTGATAACTTTCATAAAATTTCTTGCTGCTCTCAAAGAATGAAGTTGCTTTCTTTTATTTGCAATTCTTATTTAAATATTAAGAGTTTGAAGCACTTTGATTAAATCACTCTTCGCTCTCTTTTCACACTTGAGTAACGCTATACTGCAGACTGATAAAGGTGTAAAATTACAGGTTTCTCAAAGTCTCAGTAGTTTTAACCAAGCTGATCTTCATTAAAAGACATACTACTATCAAAATTCAGTTCTTAATGAAAATGATTTCTTCTGTTTAATATTAGGAATATTTGTGTATATGTACTTGTAGGATAGGAACGAGACTATTTTGCCCTTTGCAAATTACAACTGATAAATCATTATTTGCCCTGCAACTTACACAAAAATAAACATATTTTTGAAAACTGTTAATGCTACCTAATGTATATATGGAACAGTAAAACCAAAGTGGAGACATTCTTTATCACTTAATAATTTACTGTATCTAAATGTTTAAGTATATCATAGGGTGGCGCAGTGGTAACGCACTCACCTTTCACCTAGCTGTCCGGGGTTTGACTCCTGGAACAGACCTGAAATGTAAGGGTCACTTGCCCAACCATGTGGGTTTTCCCTGGGTACTCCAGTTTCCTTCCACAATAAGACCCCTCGCACACTTATAGTCAGGCCAATAAGGGTGATTAGTATAAGATGAAATAACTTGTTTTGCATGGTTGTGAAATATATAAACTGTATAATTTTTTACGTATATTGTAAGGACCAGTGTAGAACACGTTTGATTCTATATTTGTCATCTCTGAAACATGTCACTGGTGTAAAAGTGGAGTGGGGGTGGAATTTGTTTGGTTTTTATAGCTTCTACTATATCTTCAACAGTATCTTCTTTTCAACCAAAACATAATTCACTAATTAAACTATTGGCTGAATAGAACAAACTCTAGAATGTATGAGTATTGTGAAGTGTTGTATATACTAAATAACAGATTCTTGTTCGTAGATAATGCCTTACTTCTACTGGTCTTGTATATACTAAATAACAGATTCTTGTTCGTAGATAATGCCTTACTTCTACTGGTCTTGTATATACTAAATAACAGATTCTTGTTCGTAGATAATGCCTTACTTCTACTGGTCTTGTATATACTAAATAACAGATTCTTGTTCGTAGATAATGCCTTACTTCTACTGGTCTTGTATATACTAAATAACAGATTCTTGTATAATGCCTTACTTCTACTGGTCTTGTATATACTAAATAACAGATTCTTGTTCGTAGATAATGCCTTACTTCTACTGGTCTTGGGTATAAAACATTGTTGTCTTACTTGGTTCAAATGGATTAAGTGAAGTATCGCTTACGTATCTACTGGGGTACTCTACAAGAAGGGAAACTTTTTATGAACTCTTGTCCTGACTTGGTCTCATGATTCTACACCAATTTACTTTGATTTTGGATGTTCCAAGTCACCCACGCTGATAAACGTAACTTCAGATATTGATTTGTAATTGATTACTGTGTGGAATTGTTTTATTATAAACATTGGATAACTTTAATTTAAAAAAATATATTTTAAAAGTACCTAAAGGATCTTACAGGAATTTTTATTCATACGAGACATTGAAATGAGTCTTAGAATTTACTTAACCTCTGGCATAGTAAAACAAAACATCTCTTAAGTTTCATAAATATTGTATAAAGTAGAACTGAAATTTGACAGAACAATCCAATTCCCTGAAGTTTAACCATGACATGAAATAGTGTTTTCCTGAATGGCATTTTTGATTCGAGAGTGTTTGATAAAGTTATTACCCTAGAGAGGGGATGTTTTTTGGGTTGGTGGGTTAGCATTGTTATAGCGTCAGAAGAGATATAATGATGAGAAAGTGTATTTTTTCAGTGGCATTTTGATGAAATAAAATCTACATATCATTTCTTTTCCATATTTGTATTCTCATGGAGATTCAATAACATAATGATTCTCATTTACATCAGCATGGGATGGGCATACGTTTTACACTCTGCAGTACCCCTGTTGCCTCTTTCTTTTAGTGTTGTCACAATACATTTGCCACCATAAATCTTCAACATATATTTTCCATGCTGTGATGAGGGAACCTTCAGCCAATCTCAGCGCCACTAGGTCATATTACACTTTTTAATAACAATAAATTATGTATAGGATGTTAAAACATGGATAACAGGATAGTTACCTAGAAATTTTTTTTTTGAAAAGATAGATTTTCAAAATCATATTATTCATGAAATTTATTAACATGGAAAACAGGATAGTTACATCATAAACTATTTTTGAAAAAGATGGGTTTTCAGACATATATAATTTATGAAATTTATATTCTATTTCATGGTTCCAGCTTTGACCAAAACTCGTTATTTGATGAAGATCTATGTAAAGGATTTGTATGCTGATCATGTCCATCTGTGATAAGATGATGACATTGCAACATTTTTTTTTTTTCTAAGTCAGATCATTCCTAATATTTTCATGTACTTTTATTTCTATGCAAACAGATCTGGAGGCCTTGAAATAATTTAATTAATGCTTGCAGTAATAATTTGGTTACAGCTTGTATGCAGCACCTGAAACATTTTGTCAGATATATTTGTTTTCCTCATTCACTTATATTACCAATGCTTGGCCTATAGGCCAAGCTTACTAGTTTGGTGCATATTTTGTTCTGCAGAAGTGATCTTAATGGAAAAGTCAAATAGACTGTACACGATGTACAGAGGACGTGTCTTTGCAGTTCACAATCGACTCTCAAGCTGCGCGGAAAGCCAAAACTTTCCAGCACAGCTTCATGAATATGCAAAGTGAACAGTCATGTGACTAGTTTATAGTGGGAGGTTTGTACCGTGGATATTTCATATATGTCAACATGTATCATATAAATTTGTTATAAATTAATGTTTCCGAGTGATTTATCATTGGTACATGTTATGTTGGAAGATTTATTGCTGTATATTTTTATAGGTAAAAGAAACATCTGTTGCCATGTTTAGTAATTCTTTGTAAATTACCATAGATATATCGCCATAGATAACTGTATAGATATAGATAGTTTGGCCATCAAGTAGAAATGTTGTAACATATGTAACTGCTTGTATATGTCCAAGAATTTTATTTGTTAAAATAAATTTTGTACAAGTATTGTATTGATATAGATAGTCCTTTGTTTCAGAAGTTTTACATTATATAACTCATAGGATTCATAGACTCGTGCAGTTTTCTTAATATTTTTTGTTTTATAAGCTTATTATACTACAGGAAGAATTTTACAACCTTAAATTTATTTAAGACTATAAAGATTCTGTAAACATAACTGTGTGTAACATGACATCTCCCTGAGGACAGGACTCTGTACCCTGTATTTTTTGTTACAGTGACAGGGACGGATGTGTAGGTTTCTACAGGACTCCTAACAAGGTAGCCAGTCTACAGCACCAGGCACGTCAGACCATTCGTAGAATCGTCCCGTCTAACATTGTCGACCACATCTTAATGCCTTTACGTCTCAAGGAGTATCTCAAATACCATACCATCTAGGATTCTGTGTACATATCTTACTCAGCTTTCAATTATTGTATCATTGAAACTGCACTGTCTTAATTAATTCCACCAATAACACACTTTAAGACCAGTTTTATTGCCATACATTTCCATCATGCCAGTGTGTTTTTCTACCCAGTTTTTTAAGCAGTCTGTACATAAATAGATTGAAAAAATGTAGTACTTCATAATATTTTTTTGGGGAAAATATTTCTGATTTTGCTTAATTTTGGAAAGTAACACTCATTTTTGGCCGAGAAGGAAACTATTGATAGCTGTAAAACAAGGCAGAAATATTGTGAGATACATTCATTATATTTATCAATGTCAAAAGAACTTGTTGTCCATTGTAAAAACTTTTTTCTAAGCATTTATCGCAAATCCTGTTTTTGCATAATTTAACTTAAAGGATCTGATACTTGTGTGCCTGTAACAATGTTGTGCATGTTTGAAAACTTAATAGCTTGATACAAAGTGCTACCTGTACAGACAAGCCGTTCAGTTACAACATTTTATAATTGTGTTTGCTTTTATAAGCTTTAACTTTCGATACAACATGTGTACCTCATGTATTTTGACATCAGAAAGAAAGGTGTGTGATAAACATTTGATGCTCCCCTTTTTAAATACAAAGTAAACTTGTGCTGTGGTGTAATAAATTATCAATCTTAATTCAAACAATTTATAAAAAATGGAAAATCTATTTAGGATCAAGTACCTTTTATCATCCAATTTATTTTAACTTTCCCAAGGTTGGAATTAGTTGTTTAGTATAGAAAAGTCCGTAGTAGACAATACATACTATACATCAGTTCCTCTAACCTTTATATCATAAACATCAGAAAACAGTATTCTTTCTATAAACTTTATATAAACTGCATTTTTAGGTAGAGGGTGAGCCTTGAAAAGTCTTTCTAATTTCATCAGATAACAGTATTCTCTCTAGTCTTTCTAATTTTTGATCAGATAATCTCTTGATTTACATTGTATTGACACAAGTCCATAACACCATTTCCAGAGTTCGAAATATGAAATCATTGTGATGACTTTAATTGGATCATATGTGTGACAAATTCTGTGGCTATGACATTTGACTTAATACTGTCACTTCTATATTATACAGAAACAATCAAACTTTAAAAACAGTATTCATAGGTGTACATTTTGCTCTGAAAGTCTGTTGCTTTTATGAACATTGTCTTGACTTTTTGGTCTGCATTTACCCTTTTCACTTTCATTGTTATTCATTTGTTTTCATTTTTGTTTGTTTGTTTTTTTTTTCTTTGTCATTTGTATGAGTTATTTTTTTAAATATTCTTATCTTACCTAGTTTCAATTCCAATATATTTATCCAAATTCTATAGAACTGACTTGCGCTACCAGTGTTTATGTCCATTTGCTATCACGACCTTCTTACCTATCAGTCAACTTCAGACCTTGTAACCCACAAGATACTGTGCAATGTTTGAGGAGCTCGCAGCCCTGGTGTGTAATTCCTTGGAAAGGTAACAATATAACAAAAACTAAACCCATACCTGGTAAAAAAAGTCCACTCTTTGAAATTGATTCTGATAATACTCGTGACTTCCTTGTTGTTAGTGATGTAACCAGATGTTTTAGGTTTGTGCTTTTGTTTTGAATCTTATTAAGTTGTACCTTATGTATATCTTGTAAATTACATTATGTTTTTTATGTTAATTGTATCTGGTCTCTATTTCTATCGAGTCAATTAAATTCCATGTAGCCGTAAATGTTGAGTAGCTATATACATTGGTATCAGATTGTTACACAAATATGTCATAAGCAATATTAATATTATTGTGATTCATCTTTATTATTATATCATACTTTCTTAGTGGTGAACCATAACTTTTCCATTAGTGCTTAACTCAATCTTAAACTATTGCTAAATACAATGAAATTTTTTCAGTTTTAATTTGTAACATCACTGAACATTATCTTTAAGATATTCCAAAATATAATGCCAAAAATTTCATTAGAAAGCAGGTGGTATACTAGCAAGGTTTTACCAATAGTAGTCGACACTAAAAACTACTTCCAGCATATACTAAACAGTTGATCACTGCAACTGGAAAGAAGGCAGAAGGTGATGGTAAAAAGAAATGATGGGTTATTTTTTAATGCATGACTTTCGCATTGAACCGATTCCATTGAACATATCAATTGCCAAACACCTTATTTACACTATGTTGTCGGTAACAGAATTATTTTACACCTTGCTTCGTTGTGATATTTCCGACATACCCATTCTTAGATCTTCTGTTGGTAACACTTTTTTTACACCTTGCTTCTGTGCGATATTTCTAAGGTACCCATCAGTAAATCTTGGTAGAGGGTCTGTACATTTTGGTTACCAGACAGAGTAATAAATAACCGTTATCTTGTACTTGTCAAACCTTCACTAAACCTCCATTGTGTTTCATTGATGACTGATGTACATAGTGTGTGATTACTCCAATCTTTCCCAGGTCGCATGTTGCCGTTCTATTTGTTATGAACCGTACTTCCAACAGAACACACCATTTCATTATAACACCAGTAGTGCTGTATCATGTCCCCCTTTTGATATTCAAAATTAAGCAACACTTGTTTTACAACCATGCTGTTGTGTTATCTATGTAAAAATGAATATTTGACTTCATTGAATAGTCCAGTGTGCTACCACATACATTTGGCTGGTGGTAAGTGTTATGTAAGGAAGTATGCAATGCTAAGGAAAATATTTTTTCAATGATTTCATTGATATTTTTGGTAAACAGAATTCAATTTCAAAAAACAAAAAAGTATTGTTGTCCAGTTGTCAAATTCTATGAAGATGTAAAAATTAATATATGCTTTTGGTTTTAAATTGTTGCACATTCTTGTAAATTTTATTTTCTGAATTACTTTGTCTCAATTTCTTTTGAAGACTACTTTCTTTTCCTTGGTATTCAGAACAGCAGTCAAATTATGATTCTGTTGATAATGATAATAACTGTTGTATTCAAGAAAAACAAAAGCTAAACATAACTGAAATTCTGATGTATGTAAGAAACACAAGGGACTCTTAATTCACTAGTTAAATCAATCAGGAAATGTTCTCCCAATAACACAATTAGCTTTTATCATCAGGTCCAGTTACACCCTGTATATATCCACTTTGTTATACAATGCTGGCATCACAATATACTGTATTATTATACACATGTACAACAGTTGTTTAAATAAAAGTTAAAACTGAATGAAAGTGGATCTATTTTGTATTTGATCCGCGATGAAGCTTGACACCTTAATTAGACAAGTCCAATATTTTACGGTCATCTGAGCCTTGTGTGTCATGCATCGTAAACTTAACATTTTCAAACTCCTGAACCGATTTCAATGAAATTTTACGAAAAATCTTCCATGGCTTAAGTGCACCAAAATTGTGCATAATATGGTCCCAACCCCCAGGGGCACGAGGGGTGGGGCCAAAAAGGGTCAAATGGAATGAAACTTCAAAAATCTTCTCAAGTCCTAGGTATGACGGTTTAATGAAATGGACCATGGTTGACCCCAAGGGCTGTTGGGCGACGGACAAAAATGGGTTGTCAAATTGACTGAAATTTCAAAAATATTCATAGATGGAAAGGTCTACAGATGCTGTACCAAACTTGTATTTCCACTTCGGAGGGGGTAAAATTTACAAGTTTATATAGGAAATTTCATCTTTGAACATTATTTATTTTCTGTTTGAAACAATTCAAACCTGGTTAGAATTATCAGTTTAAGATTTAATGAGATGCACATATTAACCTCTGCTGAACCCCAGGGGCTGATGGGGGGGGGGGGGGGGGGGGGGCAAAAAAATTTTTGTAATTTTTTTAATTTTCCAATACATTGTAGACAATTATACAGTTACAAGTAAATCATTACAGATATACAACACTGCTGCATTCATCATCCTCATCATCACAACAATCATCCAATCATCATCATCATCATACTTAATGATACAAGAACATCAGGACATCATACTTGATGGTCAGATCTTAGTACCCAGATGCACAGGCACTCGAGGCCAGGATATTATTTTTTAAACATTGATTTTTGTTTTAGCACTCATAACTGACGTTATTTAAACGAAATATCATCCGAGGTCCACGGTCATTAAAAATACACAAGGCAAGCAACTCAGATTTTAAAAAATCGACCCTCGCTTGGAAACTGGCTCAAAAAAAGTAGTTATGATAAGTTCCTTGTAAAACAATATGTATCCGTGTGTATATTTACCTTTTATTTGGTGCATAACATTAAAGGCAACGAGAAATTCACAATACACAAAACATCTCAATAACCGTTTTTATCGTCCATGTAATTATCTTTGACGGAAGTAACATGCCATTTCAAGGGCGGTCATTTTTGGGAAAGGAATAGCACTATACCAGTGAACAGGTAAGTAAACTTACAAATACATTTGCGGGGATGGAAAAATAATGGCAAAGAAAATCACTATGGAAAAAATCATTTAATTTCCAATTTCTAAGTTAATATATTCCCCCAAGATATTTTTCATAAATTGCGCCCTTTTTTCATTATCTGCATGATTTTTTTCTATTTTTTTTTGAAAAAAAAATTCTCATTACCGCCAGCTTGATTGAAAGTTGATGCATTCTGTATAATCACCATGATATTGTATCCGAGTAAATGTGGACTTTTCTGCCCAGCCATTATTTTTCCATCCCCGCAAATGTATTTGTAGAAATAAAAATATCTATTTTGAAGTTACGCGCGTAATGACATCGGAACCTTTCTTACCTGTTCACTGGTATAGTGCTATCCGGAACTCCTCTCCCAAAAAGTCGGAGTGACCGCCCTTGAAATGGCATGTTACTTCCGTCAAAGATAATTACATTGAGATGTTAATCTCATGTTTTATTTCTCATAACTACTTTTTTTGAGCCAGTTTCCAAGCGAGGGGTCGATTTTTTAAAATCTGGAGTTTCTTGCCTTGTGTATTTTTAATGTACATAAACTTGAATTCTGCTGATATTTCGTTTAAATAACGTCAGTCATGAGTGCTAAAACAAAAATCAATGTTTAAAAAATAATATCCTGGCCTCGAGTGCCTGTGCCCAGATGATGTAGAACCATATTTCACGGGTCAGTTATCACACCTGACACCGTTCCGTATGCATCGATATAAAAAGCAATCAGTTTGTAATTTCGAGAATCATAAATACGAAGCGGTAACTGCTATATAATCTTCGTCGTCATCTTACAAATGGCATGATATCACCATTTTCGATGACTGGGTGACATTACGGAGTTTTATTTCTCCCAGGACGGCAAGTTTAACCGTATGTAATGTACAGAACCGACTCGATATTTTCATATTCAGATTCCGGAAACAATTGTTACAGTTCTTGGTTTCTAGCAAAAGAACACAAGGACCACTGGGTGGGTTCTCACGGCAATTTTATTTCCAATGATGGATAATAAAAACAAAACCATGCAGTGCAAAACACAAAAAGACAATAAACTCTCTCCGACACATACTTGTGTATACTGCAGACCTGACCGTGTTTAAACCAGGGAAATAACTCTTATGACAGACTTACGTTAACTTACGAAATAGCGCAAATTACATAATTACAAATGTTGAATAACTGTTATAGTTACAGCTCTGAACTACTAAAAACTTTACCGGACCAGAACAATACGGACTAGTAGATTGTTTAATTAATAACAGGCTACATGGGCTACAGAACGTAACTGCATAGTGAAATATGTAATTAAACAGACCAAAAACAATAAATTGAAACTAATTACTAAATAACTAGAATTAGTTATATACAACAGACACTTACCCTACAACTGTGGTGCAGAGGTTTCCTATAAATTCCCTTTGTGACGTAGGTGTAGTATAAATGTAACATGAACCGCCGCTGCGTGTATCTCGGATGGAAGTGTATGGTTACAGGTAAAAAGCAAGTCTTGTCTAAGGTCACGACCTACACAAGTTATTGGTCAGTCCACAGTCAAGTGTCTAAACATGCATACTTAATTGGCATGTCGTAATACACAACGCTATGATACATCCATATATACGTACACTGTACATTGATGTAAAACCAACTACATTTAACCATGCCCCCTTATGTATATATATGTAATAAGCTATTAGTAAATAACAGCATATACATATCATACCCTGTAAAAAATACCGAAGAAGAAACCTTTGAAATCGTAAATAATGCATTTGTGCTCAAAAGTTGAAAGGGTCAGCAATGGGGTAACTAGGCTTATAACTTGCAGGAACAGTTTGACGAAAAAAATAGGTATTCTGCACCCGCTGTCACCGTTCAACCGTTTTTTTGTTCAAATAAAAATTATATTCCTACTGAAAAGTTATTAGAGGGGCTATCATAATGAGCGCTTGTAAAGTTATAGAGTCTAACGCAGTTCCAATGTAAATGTAACTGACAAATTCATTCTGAATACTACTGAACAAGAGCCATGTTGAACAAAAAGCGTAAATTTACATGCTCATCCATTAAACTGCTTAGACATTATTTTGCAAGCGAGCCAATTTCTCCACATGTGCTAGCCATATAACCAATATCATTTTTCATTCCTGTCAAAACGTATACCTGTCAGAAGGGTTCTGAATAATCAAAGACTATCAATTAATTCTATCGACCACAGTTGATAAAACATGAAATTCCGGACATAAATGTAGGCTGAATCTAGGATATTGTTTATTCATGAAGTGTATGCGACTGAAAAATTCTATTTTTAATCTGTCTTCTGACCCACAAATATGGCTAGTTTTGCTAACGTTATCCTATTGTCGACTGTATTTTACTTTCCTGAAAAAATCGTAGAGAAAGTATGTTAACATTACATTTCCGCGCCAGACTGCTTATCCTACAAGGCCAAGGTTTCGTGAAAGTCGGTCAGTCACTCTATTTGGCTTGTATACAAACCTTTTCTTGACTCTGATGTTGGACGGGCGGTTATAGTCCGTTTCAGTATATCACTCTGTCAACCAGTAAGACTCGGCTCCCTACAAATCGCGAAAATTCTTTTGAAGCTTACGCTGAGCCTTGGCTTCTATCAAAGTAGGTGCCGCTTGGCTGTTATATCCATGGACTATATGCGCTAAAGACGACTTGGAAATCTCTGCTCTTTCTTAAATACTGAAGTAAAATAGTATATTCGATAGAAACATTACATTATTGTTCCGTTGCCTAAATCTCATATGAAATGGATACTGTATTGATTCATGCAATCGGCCAGTATTCGGTTTAAGAGTGACAGTCATTCTCTCTAATAATAAATTTTCAGTAGGACAAAATTCATTAAATACGAATGCAAACGTCGGTTAATTTAGAGTTTTGAAGGGTAAAATACAATAAAACTGTCCACGATGATGTGGTATGGGATATTGAACACTTAACAGACAATTTTAGATTGATTGAACTTGTCAGCTCATACATGTAGATTACCAGCTCTGGAATTGTCATTAATCTCCACTGTGAAGGTGTACATGCATTCTGTAACCTAGGTCCACAAAGTATATCTGGTACTTATGCGAGTCACGTAGTCTTGTCAAATGTATGGCGTTGAAAATTACGTGTACTAGGTGTGTATGACAACCTAAATTGAATATAAATACACTTATCAAACAAGTGCACGCTCTAGGAAACCCTGTGTCATTAGAGAAGCACACCAGAGTTGTTTCATGCATCGATTTCAAAGGAAGCAAGTTATTTTGCGAAATTATTCTAATTCCTTTCAAACTAGAACCCCTTGATGTTTATTAACTTAAGTTCGACTTGAAGCCCCTCAGACACACAATGTTACTCCGTTAATACTCAGACATACAATGTTACTCCTTAAATACTCAGACACACAATGTTACTCCGTTAATACTCAGACATACAATGTTACTCCGTTAATACTCACACAATGTTACTCCGTTAATACTCAGACACACAATGTTACTCCGTTAATACTCAGACACACAATGTTACTCCGTTAATACTCAGACACACAATGTTACTCCGTTAATACTCAGACACTCAGACACACAATGTTACTCCGTTAATACTCAGACACACAATGTTACTCCGTTAATACTCAGACACACAATGTTACACACACCATGTTACTTCGTTAATATTCAGACATACAATGTTACTCCGTTAATACTCAGACACACCATGTTACTCCGTTAATACTCAAACATACAATATTACTCCG